TGCTGAGATCTAAAAGGTGTGCATCATACCTGAACTCTTTACAGTTGGTTTTGTGACTGTAAGTTCATGCCAGTCTTATACATGTTTGGCCAGTTTACATGTGGGTCAGAAATACTAGCCTCAGTGAGCGGTTCTTTTTGGGAGTGAATGACAACGTAAGTTGACACTGTTAGATGTGCAGAGAGAAAATCTGCAGTTCTAATAGAAATTATTTTATTGTGAATGAAAACCGAGTCTCTGCACTACATTTTTTGATAATCCATAAAAAGTTCACAAGTCTTCTTTCGCAATTATGCCAAGCGATTGCTCTGATCCACTATTGATGAATTGTCACAATGTTTAATTTAGGGATTTTTTTTATTGTAATGTGCTGTGGATGGCTGTAAAATGTCATCTTTTTGAATGAGCAGCTGGGCGTGATAAAGCAGAGGCATTTGAAAGTCCTAATGTATTCAGGCTTGTTTATAATTAAGTCCCACATTATGCATAAAATCTATTTTGGTTACACGATAAATTTGGATTTTAATTCAGTGTAAACTCTTGTACCTTCTTGTCATAGGAAGGAAAGACTAAGAACATATTTACAGTATATAGACTATTAGTATTGGTGCAATAATCTTTTTTATTCCTTTCTCTATTTCCTTTCTTTAAACACAAACGTTATTAGGTGAACCCAGTACTAAATCATGGAGTTAATTATTGTTATTATTTTGAAAATAGATATGAGCAGGTTGTATACAAGATGTCGAACTGGTCATTCAAGGCTCAGTCATTCATAAGCTAGTTTTAATGTGTGCAAGGGTTTCTTGTGTAAAACATACTTTAATAGAATTTCCATTTTTAAATGATATTAGACAACGTTTTTATTCAGAAAATATATTAATGGACATATTTTAAAAAGGTTTCACCTGGAATTTTTTTTGTTTGTTTGTTTTGTTATTTTTACTTTTACTATTATTATTATTTTATGTATATATGCATATTTTGGTATGTTGGTTGTGTTTGTTAAACTATTGTAAACGATGTATTGAAATGATATTGTAATCATAATACTGTTTATTTTGCTATGAATATAGCCATTGGTGCTGATATGGCATTAAATCATACATAAATTCTTTCTTTAAACACATCATTATCATAGCAGCAAAGTCCAATATCAATCAACCTCTAATTTGTCACTCTCAGAAAAAAAGGTACAAAAGCTGTCACTGGGGCGGTACGATCCAGTTTTTGAATATATTGATTAAAACATGTCTTGAATATGTTGCAGTTGAATGTGTGCTGCAGCCGGTTTATTTATATTATTCCATGTAAACCTTCTCATCTGTTTTCTCACTTTCTGTTATATTTTGTTTTTGTGGTGCTGAATGTTCAGTTCAAATTGGCTATTTCTAATAAAAGCAGTGCCATTTAGGTCTGGGCAAATGGTGACTTACACAAATGTCAAGAGGTTAGAGGTCATTACCATGTTGTGGGCAAAGGGTCAAAGAGGAAGTGACAGGTAGATCATGGACATACCTCTGTTTGAGGAAGACTCTCTCAAGACTCAGGCGCTTCCGTACTGACCACAGGATCTTGAATATGTTGCAGTTGAATGTGTGTTGCAGCCGGTTTATTTATATTATTCCATGTACACCTTCTCATCTGTTTTGTCACTTTCTGTTATATTTTGTTTTTGTGGTGCTGTTTGTTCAGTTCAAATTGGCTATTTCTAATAAAAGCAGTGCCATTTAGGTCTGGGCAAATGGTGACTTACACAAATGTCAAGAGGTTAGAGGTCATTACCATGTTGTGGGCAAAGGGTCAAAGAGGAAGTGACAGGTAGATCATGGACATACCTCTATTTGAGGAAGACTCTCTCAAGACTCAGGCGCTTCCGTACTGACCACAGGACATGAAAACAGCCACTGCAGAATGCTCATTCCGGTCTAGACAAGGTTGTTTTTTGATTGTTATTGGCTGACTCCTGATTTCATAATGCAATATGTTTCCAGAACGGTGCTCTCTCTATGAATCTGTGAATCAAAGCATTCACAGACCAAAGTGATGAAAGAGGGCACTCATGATTTCTGGCATTTCAATTATAGATCTGAATGAAACCTGGATGTGTGATTGCAGTTTTGAAACACAAAAAGATGCATAATGTTAATTCATATCTTATGTCCTTTATGCATTTTATTTCATAGTTTGAAAGGTATAAGTGTAGCACAATGTCAGAATCTACACTCTCCTAGCCTTCAGCAAGTTAGTTTGCCTTTAACTTAACGAGAACGGCAATATTTCATGGTTTAAATCTGACATTTGTGGATGTAAGTTGCTTGTGCTACTGGAAAACATACAGATCAGCTTGGTTTTATGTGCCTTATGACAATTTACTTCTGTGTGTAATTTACCATCAGGGGGGCAGATTCATAAAAATCCTTTAAAAATAAATTCTAAAAATTCTAAGTGCACTTCTTAAAAAATTTAAGGAAGTTCTCTATTATTTTCTTTAGGAACATCTTTTGTTAAGATGAAAATGACAGGCTTTGGTGTTGTCTGATTGTATGGCGGTTTTGGCCGAAGATCAACTCGATAAACAGTCTGCAGTTTACGTAATAATCAAAAATGGCATGCAAACAATTTTTGTCCATTTTTATGGCTTGACGGGAGTTCAGCCTGTTTAAGATGGAGCGGCCTGTTTTATTCATTTACACTCTTTCTTTGTACTCCGAATGCATCCCGTATCTGTGTGTGCATGGATGCTCTTATAATAATGCGAAAAATTATGCTTTAATTATACAATAAAAAATCGCTATTTGACTCTTTTGAAGAGTTGTTACTGATTCGGCAAAAAGTCACATTGTGCAAAATCATGACGGATATACAGCACTTACATAAGCTGCTCTTTTGCTGGTTTGATTGCTTATGTTGTCCTCATTTGTAAGTCACTTTGGATAAAAGCATCTGCTAAATGATTAAATGTAAATGTACGTTATCGATCAGTGGCGTCACTTTAGAGTGCTCCTGAGCACTTATAATATGTATTACATGTAGTTAGTGTTATGTTGCAAGGCTTAATATTTGAAACAACCCAATAAATTAAATAAGCATTTTACCTTTAGGCAGTGCTGGGCAGATTACTTACAAATTATATTCTGTTACTGATTCCAAATGACGTGACAGAAATTATAGTCAGTAACGTAATCCATTACATTACACATTTCAGGTTATATAATCAGACTACGTTTTGATTATTTTTAGATACTTTTGACCTAACTCGTTTATCACATTGATTCATATATAAAAAAAAAATCGTGTTCCATATTGATATAAAACTGCAGAGAGAATGAAAATATATTCCATTTGTTGTTAAACATGAATTGCATTAAACATTACATCGCACAGGGTTTCCTAAACTGGGGTTTGAGAGTTTAATGAAAAACTAATAATTAATTAAATCATAAAAATATAAAATTCAAATAAACCATTTTAAAATAAGTTAAAATAAAATGCTTACTAAAAAAGATAAAGCTTTTATTTGTTTTCCTGCATGTCATGTGACCATTAACCAACGTCAGAGAATCATGAACATGCAAATCTGTCACTGAATTATTAACTTATTACCTTAAAATTTCAGGCGTACTTCAAATAAATCTATTAGGTGAAAAAAGTTCTCATGACAAAAAAAAAAAAAAAGTTAATAAATGTAAATAAAAAATAATGTGAATTTGTGCATTTTAATGTGTTTAAAGACATAAGCCTTCCAAAGACATAGTAATACATAGTTAAATAACTCACTGAGTGATAAATCAAATAAAAATGAATGTGTTGATCAGTAGTTGATGCAATGTTCAGAAAACACTTTATTAAATTGAAAAGATTTTTTTTAATCCAGTGGTCAAATGCTGTGTGGCCTTTCAGTTTTCTGTGTAATTAAAGCCACCTGACTAGTGACTGGTTTTTGTGTGAAGCTGGAAGACTTTCTGAATGTATATAAGCTGTAAGCTATTTCAGAAAGGGACATTTAAAAGATGAAAAAAGAATTAGTGAGAATCTGTAAATTATGAATACTTTCTTGCTATTGTGTGAATAATATTTAATCAATAAAAAAGTAACTGCAATCTGATTATGAGTATTTTAAAATGTACTATAATCTAATTAAAAGTACTTAATTTTTGGAATCGGATTACGTAACCCAGAATACATGTGATCAGTTACTACCAGCACTGCCTTTAGGAATACAAGACAGGTTGAAGGTTATGCTAACTTTATGAGGTTTTTTTTTTTTTTTACAATGGTTTTTAAGAACATTATTTTCAGGATTTCAGATTCTTCTGAAGTTTTGTTTTAAGAAACAAGTTAAGAATATTCTTAAAAAATGTTTTAGGGAATACAAAACGTCATTGGCTTTTTTTGTTATAAAAAAAAATAGCAGTTACGAATGATTTTAATGAATAATTAGATTTTGTGAATCCAGTCCCAGATGCTAAAAGATCTCCAGAACACCATTTGGCAACACATATTGTGCAATGCCCCTCACATTAAGCTACCGACGCCAAAATATTAGGCACAAAATTATAATGCTTCTTCACAGTTATTATGACAGGAGCAGTTTCACTGAAAGACTGAGCCATTATATGAGTGACACAGTGACCTGCGCGGTCACAAATATGCAAGAAAAAGCAGCTAGCTAATTCCATTGCCACAAGGGACAAAAATATATTTGAATAAAAATGCAAAATGCAGTTTCAGGCCCGGTAAATAAGCTCAGTTCATCCGCTATCGACAGCTGAAGTAAACAGTTAATTTTTTGATCCCAGGTGACTTTTGACTATTAAACTGTTGTGCATTATTTGGATTTATTTGGATATTTGTTTCTCGCTGAATTTACATTGCCTTCTCCAAGACGTTACTATGCTGATGGAAAGCCATCTGTGGTTATATGCTCACAAGGCTGTTTCAAAGAGATATCTCAGTCACCTTAATGCCCAAACGCAGCTAAGCCTGTATTGTCTTCTTAACAGGGTGCCGTCACCGGGAGATCGAGCGTCTGCTTAACACATGATGTTCAAGGACTACAGATCTGCTCGAGCTGTAGGTGAGTTGATATGCATTCCGCTGATGGAAGTTCTGTCTGCTTGATGTACCATCAGAGACCCTTTAAGCTTCTCATTCACAGGCAGAGTGTAGATCTCACGGCAGAGAAAGGATTTGTTGGCAAGATGTTTTTTGAACATTAAAGCATGTCAACATATTCTGTTACACCAAATACACAAAATAATGATCTTTAAAAAAGCATCATATGACCCCTTTAAGTTGATTTGTGACATTTATGTTCTCCTTCACTCTCAGCATCTTTCTCCATAATTTTCTGTTCTCTCTGTATTCTCTTATATCCATTTTGGGAGTAAAAATATATTTTAACAGCATTGGTAGTGATTTTTCAAGTTAAAGAGGACACTTTCATCACAATTGTACAACAATTTATTTTCGGGGAAATCCAAGTAAGTGAAATTGGATCCCGGGTCTGAGTAATTCGCACTGTTCCACCTCGGTGCCAGTGCGAACGGTTCTGACATCTTAGAAAGAACTTTGTCTTTCACACTAATAATACATTACGAATTCAGTGAGGTTGACTGTAAGGCGAATGCACATAGCACAGCTTTCTGCTCTCATAGCTCTGTTGCTTTATTATAAATGGTCATTTTGCTATTGCCTTATACTTAAATAATGGAGATGCCAGAGGCTGGAGAGTTCAACTTTACACCTAGTTAATTGGTTTTGTGTGAAGAGTTGCAGGACTCGTGTTGGCTGTGAGGTGAGGGGTGCTGAAGGTGAAATGCCTGCATCAATCAGTCACCATAATGAATCTGGAGGTCTCATTGAACTGTCTGTGCAATATAACACAAGCACGACGATTACAAATTTTAGATTCGTTTTGCATTACTCTGTTGCATGATAGAAGGCCTGTAATCAATTTAGTGCTTTTTTGCCTTCACATTAAATTTACTCACCCTCAGTCCATCCAGATGTAGGTGACTGTTTTTTTCTTCAGTATAACAGTAAAGAAGATTTTTAGCTGAAACTGTGGTCCTTGGTGATTCATAAAATACAAGTCTTGAGAATTAAAAAAGCATATCAAGGAACACAAAATTAGTGGCTCCTGGCGATATATTGAGGTCTTATGAAGAGAAACGATCGGTCTGTGCAAGAAACTGAACATTATTTACAACATTATTACCTGTAATCCAGAGCCTCAGACAACAGGAGAATACGATTCTTTTCTGTGAACTGGTTCTTTCGGACAGTTCATTTCAATGAACAGGTTCAATTCACTAGTTCATTTACGTAATCATACAATGACGTCACGTATACGCCATTATATTATTAAAGCACCCAATAATGATGTGAAACGTGGATGTTTTTTGTGTCTAAAGCATATAAAGTGAATAAACTAGTCTTCATCAGCTCACCTTTTTACATAAACAATGAGAAACCATTAAAACCTTCATTTCGCCCTTCATTCGTGTGTTCGGTTCATGCATGTGAATATCAGCGGCTCGTCGGTCTTCGGTCCGAGTCGAACGGTTTCCTCAGTTCAGTGACTGCTGGAGGAACTGAAGCGCTGAATGATTCATTCATCACAGGATCAGATACCCCGCTATTTCTGTTCATTCCCAGTCGCAGTGACTGTCAGGCGTCTGAAAGTGAGTTTTGATTGAGTAACTTGTAGATCTGTGCTGCTCGAGCCTCGAACTGTTTCAGACACTTCAGTTTGATTTGGTGAACTGGTTCAAGTAATTCACCAAAAAGAACCGGTTCAAAAGAATGATTCGCTCATGAACCGGACATCACTCCGGACCGTTTGTCCAAGGCTCTGGATTTCAGGTAATAATGTTCAGTTTCTTGCACAGACCGATCGTTTCGCTTCATAAGACCTCAATATATCATCAGGAGCCACGGGTGTTCATTTTGTGTTTCTTGTTATGCTTTTTATTCTCAAAAACGAGCTAAATCTTCCTGGTTTTAAAATGGCCAAAACACCACATGGCACAAAACGGCAACTCTGCCTGAGAAAATGCAACCCCTAAAACTTACTCTTCACTGACTCTCACCACAAGACCCTTTACAGCTCCAGTGAAAACTTCCTCGTGGAAACCAGCATTGTGAAGTGGAACACAGTGTCCTCAAGTCCTAAAGAGTGACAAGCAGTGGCGTAGACGGGAGGGGCAATGGGTGCACATGCCCCCCTGAAAACTGATTGCCCCCCCAGTGTTCCCCCACCCTTCTACTTATTTGTCACTCAAAAATTCAAATCATATCTTTCTGCATTTGAATAATTAACGATTCCACGATGCTTCTCAACAACCAGGACTGAGAATAGCAAGCTGCTGTTTTCCAACAAAAAAAAGCACATGGAAGTTGATCTATTTTATATACCTTATTTTTTTTTCATTTAGTGAGTTGCAGTGCTAGTTTTTGGATTTCCGTCTTTCAGTGTTAGGACAGACCAGGTTCGATGTTAGCTTCTTGACCAAGATCATGCTAATCATTACAATGCTCTGTTGCTGAATGTAATACATTATAACACAGTCAGGGTTTTCCTGCGTTGTGATTTTTTTTCCCGGCCGATACGCAAGTGATATTGCAAGCGAGATGCCGAAGCAAATCGTAAATAAATCAAATCGTAAATATTAAAGATGGAGGTCTTGAGTTATGTGACTGCACTTGCGAATTTACAGATTTCTAATAAATGAAGAAAATTACTTCACTTTGACTTGAGAACGAATACTCTAAATGAAATCAGTTTCGAACCGCATGACTTGATGATGACTTTATAAGAGTTGTAATTAAACTTTAAAAAATCATTAAAAAATCATTGTGACAAACTGCAAGCCACGGAGTCTGTGCAAGCACAGAACAATACAGGCGTAGAGGAGAATCTACGAATATTGTTTGTTTGGATATAAACACTTCGAAATGGACCACACTCATAAAAAGAAATTTGTTGTACGTACAATTTGCAATCCGAACATTACCGCCGCAAACTTGATCTTCATTCACCACATGTAAAATTGTTTCTTATGGATAATTTGATTAATATCTAAAGATTATGAATATATTTTGTATATGTAGCGTGTTTTATGATTGTCTTTAGATCCCCATTAATTATTAACCTTGTTAATAGTCATTAAAGGGGTCATGAATTGAGAAATCAACTTTTACTTGAGCTTTTGATATATAAGAGGTCATCGTACTAAAAGAATATCCTGTAAGTTTCAGAACTGAAAACATCCTTGTTACTGAAATAAAAGCTTTTATTGACAGCAGGCCCAGCGAACGCCAGATTCTGGAATGTGCCTATAGGTTAAACTCCGCCTCCGC